CTCTGAGGTACATCCACCTTTGACTTTGCTATCTGCAATTCCTGTCTCCACAAGGCAGCATCTCTCTTCTCTCCAGGAAGAAATCTTGATGCATCAAAAAGAAAAAGTCTGGTTTCTTGGGCTTTTTTTTTTTTCACCACATGGTGATCCAACAGATTTTTACATAATCTATCTTCACTATAATTCATCTTCCGTTTCTTGAATTCTCTGTGAACATCCCCTTCGGCAGCTGACAGCTTCTGTTCTTTCTCTTCTGGCTTATAAGCTCTGTGAGTCAGACCCTTCAACAGAATCTTAGATTTCTGCTGATGGAGATCATTAAGGACCTCTACTACCAGCTGCAAGATTTTGCATTTATTTTCAACCAGAGCTTTGCCTGCAAGCAACGATTTTCCAACCTTTTTTCTTCCAGCTGATGCCTCGCTGACGCTTCATTATTTGGTTTGGAGTGTAAATAGTGTCTGTTTTCTTCCCTCTTGTTAATGTGGATTTTGGTATCATCTACTTTCCTGACTTCATTTTTTTTTTTTTTTACAATGGTAATCTGCCAACCAAATCTTTATTTTTAAAATGATCCTGTTCATTTCCTTCCCTATGATTTTTCTCCTCTGATCTTTCATGACTAAGATTTAGCTGCAGAGCATATTTATTGAGAACTTCAACGCATTATTTTTCTAAGTCACAGCTTCTTCCTGAGACATGAACTCTTACCTGATTTGCTCACCAGTCCCCATGGCCAGGGCTGGGAGGGTATGAACAGCAAGGGGCAGAAGGGGATCACCCTGCCCCCTCCAACAGCTTCCTCTCCTTCTAGCTCCTGTCTTCCTTTCATCTCTTTCCCTCCCTCATCTGTTTTCCTACAGTTTAAATTCACAGAAGATCTTTGTGCTTAGATTTCTAGCAGAGCTACTAACAATTTTTCCACATTTTTATTGCTTTGGGTTTCACAATGTCTTCGCTGCCTTCTCCAGATGCTGTTCTCAGCTGTTCATGGAGATTCTGTCCAAACCAGCACCACATTGCTTCGTGCGGGTCCCCACCCTCAGGTGACCAAGAGTGACGCCAAGAGGGGTGCTGACCCACACCCCAGTGTATTCTGGATCCAGGTCTCTCCAGTCCCTATTTTCTTCACTTCCCTAACTGGCCTTGCCAAGGTGCCATCACGTCAGGCTCTCTTGAGTCACGATGGCTGTGTCACTGCTGAGTCTGCCTCTGTAACTTGCTTTCACCCACAGTTTTAATTTGCTAAAAAAGTCTGGTTTCTTGGGCTTTTTTTTTTTTCACCACATGGTGATCCAACAGATTTTTACATAATCTATCTTCACTATAATTCATCTTCCGTTTCTTGAATTCTCTGTGAACATCCCCTTCGGCAGCTGACAGCTTCTGTTCTTTCTCTTCTGGCTTATAAGCTCTGTGAGTCAGACCCTTCAACAGAATCTTAGATTTCTGCTGATGGAGATCATTAAGGACCTCTACTACCAGCTGCAAGATTTTGCATTTATTTTCAACCAGAGCTTTGCCTGCAAGCAACGATTTTCCAACCTTTTTTCTTCCAGCTGATGCCTCGCTGACGCTTCATTATTTGGTTTGGAGTGTAAATAGTGTCTGTTTTCTTCCCTCTTGTTAATGTGGATTTTGGTATCATCTACTTTCCTGACTTCATTTTTTTTTTTTTTTACAATGGTAATCTGCCAACCAAATCTTTATTTTTAAAATGATCCTGTTCATTTCCTTCCCTATGATTTTTCTCCTCTGATCTTTCATGACTAAGATTTAGCTGCAGAGCATATTTATTGAGAACTTCAACGCCATTATTTTTCTAAGTCACAGCTTCTTCCTGAGACATGAACTCTTACCTGATTTGCTCACCAGTCCCCATGGCCAGGGCTGGGAGGCTGTGAACAGCAAGGGGCAGAAGGGGATCACCCTGCCCCCTCTAACAGCTTCCTCTCCTTCTAGCTCCTGTCTTCCTTTCATCTCTTTCCCTCCCTCATCTGTTTTCCTACAGTTTAAATTCACAGAAGATCTTGGTGCTTAGATTTCTAGCAGAGCTACTAACAATTTTTCCACATTTTTATTGCTTTGGGTTTCACAATGTCTTCGCTGCCTTCTCCAGATGCTGTTCTCAGCTGTTCATGGAGATTCTGTCCAAACCAGCACCACATTGCTTCGTGCGGGTCCCCACCCTCAGGTGACCAAGAGTGACGCCAAGAGGGGTGCTGACCCACACCCCAGTGTATTCTGGATCCAGGTCTCTCCAGTCCCTATTTTCTTCACTTCCCTAACTGGCCTTGCCAAGGTGCCATCACGTCAGGCTCTCTTGAGTCACGATGGCTGTGTCACTGCTGAGTCTGCCTCTGTAACTTGCTTTCACCCACAGTTTTAATTTGCTGCTACCTGCATCTTCTCAAGTCTCCAAAAGTCCTCCAAATACTTGAATCTGGCTCCTCAGATGACAACTTCCCTTTTCTTCTGGTGTACATTTCCCTTCAGTGAGCTCTTGAAGTCCTAGTAAGAGAATCTCTGGAGTCCAAAGGAAGAGCTGGGAGCATTTAGCACCAAACTGGTGTGTGTGTGTGTGCATATGTGTGTGTGAGACAGACAGGGAGACAGAGACAGATTCTTTCCTTTTTGTGGCCTCTTTCCTTCTGCTGCTTCATGTGCCCTGGGGAGGCTGGCCCCCTTCCTTCCAACCCTGACTCCCTGTCATCCCTGTGCTCAAATCACAGGCAGGTGGTGGGAGATCCAGGGTTCCCTGGCAAGGGTGAACCCAGTGGTACTTCTTGCCCAAACAGAAGGTTTGGTTGGCATGTCACTCCGATTTCCTCTCTCTCTTGACTTGTGAAACTCATGTTGCTGTGAAAACGGAAAAGCTTTAGTGTACATATATCATCCAACAAAGGTTCCTAAAGCTGCTTCTTAAAGCAGCTCTGTTTTTTGAACACTTCTAACCCCTACTGGGATATAACTGATTTAGAACAGTTTTATACAGTGACTTTCTCATACAGGGAATTCATTATGCCAATGAAATGGTTTAAACCAGGACATTGTTTACATGGGGGGCAAATTGGGGATGTATGTGTGTGTGTGTGTGTGTTTTCCCTTCCTAAGTGGAGAACTCATTTTGCCTCAAAATCTAAGTCCCCATTAAAAATTTTTAGAGGACTACCTGACTTTTGCTCTCCACCCACAATTTTTAGGAGCCCTCCTTTCACATATGACCCTGGAGCAGTAAGCACTTTTATATTTACACCTAAGAGATCAAAACAAAAGGGTCTGTCCTCATGGACAACTCTGCTCATCCCCAGAGTCACTGGTCAACAAGGTCAATATTTGCTGACTGAGTAAATAATGAAAATATTTTCAAAAAATTATTTAGAGGCTTATTGAGTAGTATGTAAGTAAAGACTCAGAAATGAAAATGCCAACCGGCAGGCAGAGGGCCCAGAGGACAACCTGAGATGCTCAAGGTCACACAACTTTTTCAGAGAATAGCGGGGCATACTACCATCTCCCCTCATCCTCCAGCTCATTTACTCAGGGATTACAGCTGTGACTTTGACAAATAGGTGATTATTTTCCATGCCCTGGCCCTAGTGAGGAGTAAGGCATTTTACTTGAGGGGCTCTAGCCAGAGACCCTATGCCAGGGAAAGACCAAATATGAACTCATGTTATCAGTTCAGAGCAAAAGAAATGGGCAGAGCCCTTCCTCTGTTGTAGGGTCCTCTGTCTCCATTAGTCAGAGTATCTAGAAGGAGATAATATGATGTCAGACCCCACATGTGGATCCTTGCTACTGTTCCACGGAGTAACTCTCATGATCAAGGTACCTGATTTTACTTAAGCTATGGCTTTCAGAAAATAAGAATCTACTGAACTAAAATTCTTTGATTTTTCAAACCATTTTTCCTCTGCCCTGAGCAATATACCTATGAATATTTCTATTTAGGCTTTATCCACAATGAATATAAAGTAAGATTTCATTTGAATATGTTAACCCCTCAGTATAATATACATCTTGATTTTTTAAAAAAATTATCTGATTTCTAAACATATATTCAGTTTCTTGATATTTCTTATCTTGCTGTCTACATCTTTACTTTGCAAAATTTTAATACCTTCACATAAGAGCAAATATAGTAAATTAGCAAGTTTTTCAATTGCTGGCATTGAAAGTAGAGGCTCAAAGAAAGTTTCAGGAAAATGGACAAAAATCCTGGATTCTGGAAAGGGTGTTTGTAACAAAAACTGACTCAGACATGTTTTGTTTCTCATCAGCTGTATGACTTGGGTCAAGTCATTTAACCCATCGTGTCGGGGTTTCTTTATTTGTGAAAGGGAAAGGATGATGCCTACCTCATCTTCACTTTCTTACAGGGCTACTGTGCAGACTGAGGAAGATGAACTTTTTGAATCTAAAAGATTTAGCACACTAAGATGGAAATAAATTTTTGGAGGGCTACTTTCAGAGGCTAGTTGATAGAGGTTACCTTGCCACTTTTCAGTCATCTAGAACTCCAGGAACTTGACTGCTATGATGACTGCTGTGATCAGAGTCTAGCCAGCCTGGTTTTTGATACAGAACAAGGCCTGGAACCATACTGGGCTGAGAAAAGGATATGTTGGTTCCCTACTCTGGACCTAGACTCATGCATGCCTAGGGCTGAGCAAAGTGAACGAAGTTCCCTGAGGTAGGGCAGGCTTTCGGAACAGGAGACACATGGCTAACCAGAGCACTTGGCCTTGCCAAGTGGTATTTACAATCCTAGGGTGGAGCCAAAGGGCACTGAACAAAGGAAAGGACCAATCATGTGGTCAGAGGCGTGAGGTTCTAGAATTTGCCCAGCTTCAGACACCTACCCATCCTTTCAGTCAAGGAACAGTATCTATTTCTGAAGAAGGTGGGGAGGTCAATTTAGATGTGCAGACACAATACTGGGAAAATACTTTAGAGTTCTAATCTTACAGGTTTTTTTTTTTTCCTTCCCTCAACAGCATTTTGAAAATACTGTCCTGTGGTCTGTTGACCTCTATAATTGCCAATGAGAAATATGTTGTCCTTCCATTGTAAGTAAACTGTATTTTTTTCTTTGGTTACTTTTAAAGATTTTTCTCTTTGTCTTCACTATAATGTCACTAAGTATGGATTTATTTTTATCTATTTTGCTCAGGACTCAAGTTTCTTTCAATCTGAAGATATGTATCTTTCTTCAGGGATGTGTAATAAAACCACAAGATCTTATTGTACAACCATGATAAAGGCAAAAAATAAAAATTATCAATTGTTGGCCAGGATGTGGGGAAAATTCAAGCCACCATTGAGAACTTATAAATTATTACATTTCTGGGGTGCAATCTGGGGGGTACCAGCAAAATAAGATACTGTATAGCCTATGATCAAGTAATTATGATATTAGGCACCAACCCTGAGAAAATTTGCATTCATAGAAAAAGGAGATACAAGTACATCTGTTCAGTGAAGCATTGCTTGCCACTGGGGGGAAAAAAGAGTTAGAAAGAAATTGATCAAAATGTCCATCAATTATTGAGAATCAATAATGTAATATCCAATAAATAAATCCTGAACAGCAGTTAAATGAATCAGGTATACTCACACCAGGTAGATAAATTTGGAAGACAAAATGAGGAATATAAAAAATAGATGTAAATGCAGTAATGCCCTATGTATAGATTTTAACCACCCACAAAGCTATAATTGTCCAATGTGCAGAAACGGTAAGATCTCTCACTCTCTAGAGTGCAACAGAATTTAAAAAAAAAGAGAGAGAAAGACAACAGAATAAAAGGCAATCCAAGAAATATCTGTCCTCTTGGAAATCAAAAAGAAGATCTGAAATAATTCCTGGCTTGAAGAAATAACAGAAATTAAAGGCTGTATAGAAGTGGTCAATAGTACTAGCCAGACACAAATGTGCTGGGGAGGTGAGGGAGACAAATGACCCACCTGGGGTCTCTCCAAGCTTCAAAGTCTTAGAAAACAAAGATACTTGTTTGGAGTCAATTTTTTAAAATCTGAGTTGAACTATGGTTTCTGACAGGGGAAAAGGGGAAGGGTTAGAATATACTCCTCCCTCCCAAGCTTCCCTTGGTAACAGGCAGGAAGGCACAGTAGAAGATAATGGAACGTAGTAGAATGTGGAGGGATGTAAAATGGGCAGTATTAGGTGGAGAGACGCTCAGAGCACAGGAGAGTGAGGGTACGTGGGCCTGCACGGCGCTGGGGGCTGGGACGGCCAAGCACAAACGCCTGTACCAACAAGGCCATGTAGCAACAAGGCCATGGGTCAAGGCCATGGGTCTGTGTCTCTGAGTGGGCACGGCCAGGCAGTCAGGCTTGAGGGGCACGTGGGGAGCTGGGGAGCGATGCCAGGGGAAGTCCTGCTTGAGGTGGGGGCTGGGTGCGAGGGAGTACCAGGAGCCGGGAGGAAGCACGTGAGACTCAGATGGGCTGTAGCTCAGAACGCCATCCTCCTGGGAAGCGGAAGTCGGCCAAGAACTGTCCCGAGGCAGCTGGAAGGACAGGGTGCCCTGGCTTCCTCACGTAGGGAGGTCACTTCTCTGTGAAAGTGGTGATGTTAATAAAAGGCAGGGAATCGAACGACATAGAGCTTTCAGATAGACATGCTTCCTGCCTACATTCAGGTGCTAAATGAACAACCAAATGAGAACCTCTAGTATGAACAGTTTCCAACGATGGGATATCCAAGGTCATTACATTCCCGGGAATAACACCTGGGGTGCCATGACAGACTACCAGAAAGAACAGATGAGTGGGCCAGCCCCACTCAGACCCAATGAGGAAACTTCATATTCTTTCAGCTCGTTTTAGAACTTGGCAAAGCCAGACCCCATGCTCTAAGCTTGATGGGTTCTACCCTCCATATCATCCAGGAGATACAACACAGTTACTACAGAATGTGACATTGAGGAGAGAGCATGGTGTGTATTAATTCATGTAAGAAATTGTATATCAGCATGGAAATGTTAATAATTAGAAATGACTGGAATCTCTGTGTTGTCTGTTGTGGAAATAAAGGCTGCTGGGGGAGGATCAAAAATATCTGGAAATTACTTGAAACTGATGAATAACTAAACAGAATTATAACCAAACTGTACCATAATCCGACTGTATTTTTTGTCTGTTAATGATTGGTTCTGGGGAGCCCTGTGCAGTGAACATTACAAAAATCACATGAAGCTCCAAAAGCTACTCTCGGTAAATTTCTTGAGTGGGAGTTCTCAACTGTAACTTTTGGCATGTTATTCTGATAGTTCTGTATGTCAACTGATTTTGTTTTGACATTTTGACTCATTTTGGGAAAACTGAGGTGTGTACCTGGAATTGTCTTGATACATGCTTAAATTGTGATTCTCTGGGTGGAAAGTCCTGATAGTGTTTGCCAATTTCCATGGTGTAAATACTTCCATTATGGCTGACTGCAAGCTACAAATGTGGTATGTGGTATCTGAGTGCAGAATTGGGAAGAGGTGCACAAAGTTGATCCTTGTGAGTCAATACAGGACACTGTATATACCTGTGGGCCTGTGTAAAATGATTTTTTACTAAAAATATTGCCCCATAAATATACAAAGGCATTAGTGAAAGAAAAGATAAAAGGGAAAATAAATTCCAACGGGGAGCTCAAACAGAGAAAACTGGCAGAGGATTTTTTTTTTTTAAACTTTGTCTATATCCTACATTTTATTATTATCTTTTATTAAGCATCTATGTGTCACCCTGAGTGTTCTGAACTCTTAGTTTCTTTGGAGTTACCCTGGATAGAGGCTAGGGTTTCCTCTCCTTCCAGATATTGGTGCTAAGACGATGCTGACCAAAGAATCGATGGGACCTGCTCACCGTGAAGCCAGTTTCAGGATGGCCGAGCTGATGGTTGAAACAGAAGAAAAGACATAGAGCCTTCTGAGTTTGGGGAGGCAATGTTGATATTTAGACTTATGGTTTGGTATGATAATGTATTACTTTAAAAAAATTAATGCTGATGAAAACAAGAAAAACCAATTGTTCAAAAATTGAAAAACAATGGAATAATAAACTCTTCTATTAGAGTAAACCAAGAAGAAATTTATTAAACTTGAGATGAATTGGAAATTTCAATAAGAATCCATGGACATGTTTTTAAAGGAGGCTTTATCTGTTCTGTCCCTGCAGTGATTTATGCCATTGGATATTTTTGCTGCCATCTGTCAAACTCCAGTCAGAAAGTAGGACAAGCTTATTTGTAGAAGTAGTGCTTGTGGTTTCTAAAACTATTCTCCAATGAGAGGGACAAATGCCCTTGGGGGATAGTTGACTCCATATTTCTGGGCAGGGGAAAAATTCAGGATTAGTTTGTAAACTCTAGATGTTGAACGAAAGCACGGTTGCATCTGTAGCAACATGGATGGACCTGGAGACTGTCATACTGAGTGAAGTGAGTCAGAGAAGGAGAAATAGCATATGACAGCCCTCGTAAGTGAAGTCTAAAAAGCAATGATACAGATGAACCTACAAAGCAGAAAGAGACTCACAGGCTTAGACAATGAACTTATTCTCTAAGTTTGGGAGGGGCAGGGGGAAGGACGGGGGGAAGGGATAGTTAGGGAGTTTGGGATGGACATGTACACACTTCTGTTTTCAAAATGGATAACCAACAAGGACCCACTGTACAGCACATGGAACTGCTCAATGTTTTCTGGCACCTGGATAGGAGAGGAGTTTGGAGGAGAATGAATGCACGTATATATGTACGGCTGAGTCCCTTCATTGTTCACCTGAAACTATCACAGTATTGTTAATCGGCTATACCCCAACTGAAAATAAAAAGTTTAAATTTAGAGAAGAGAAAGCAAGCTTGCATTAAGGTATCAGAGTCATAAATCCATAATGGTTCAAAAGAGAAGATAAAGCAACTGCCTGAAAAAAATATAGCCAGTCTTTGAAATTGTTTACTGAAAAGGCTGTGTGTGTGTGTAGTCGCTCAGTTGTGCACAACGCTCTGCAACCCCATAGACTGCAGCCCACCAGGCTCCTCTGCCCATGGAATTCTCCAGGCAAGAATACTGGAGTGGGTTGCCATGCCCTTCTCCAGACTGAAAAGGCTACATATCGATTAATAAAAATTACATGAGGCCTACACACAAGCAACAGTTTGAAAATGCAAGAAACTGTCTTTTTCCATAAGGAGATGAACTCGTAGCAGGACATAGTCATGGGACAATAACAATATTCAAGATCTCTGTGAAATGTGGTTTATTTGACAGAAAAGGATACAAGCGAATTGGAGGCAATCGAGATTTTTTCATGATGCCAGGGGTGACTTTTAAAAGAGTAGTTTCTCTTATCTTTCCAGCAATAAATTACAGTCTTTCCTAAGTACTGCCCATCATGATTGCATAGTGGATAGAGGCACCCCCTGCAAACTGCTGGATTTTTAATCAAGTAGTTAACACACATGCGCTCTGCATGTTATACACATCATGCTGCTTGGGGCCATTCGGGCTTCCCAGGCGGCACAGTGGTAAAGAGACCACCTACCAATGCGGGAGTTACAGGAGATGCAGGTTCGATCCCTGGGTCAGGAAGACCCCCTGGAGGAGGGTATGGCAACCCACTCCTGTATTCTTGCCTGGAGAATCCCATGGACAGAGGAGCCTGGCGGGCTATAGTCCATAGGGTCACAAAGAGTCAATATGACTGAGCACGCGTGAACGTGCTCACACTCACAACACACACACACACACGTGACCATTTATCCAGTAATGATTTGCTTTGCACAGACAGGGGCTCTGCATCCTATTTCTACATTATTTTTTTACCTCCGTGTGACTGTCTGCCTCAGCTGGCAAAGCAGAACCGGCTTCACTTCCTGCAGTAACCCTCACCATGCCTCACTAGAAGAGGAGAAAATCTCAGAGATGACAGAAAATGTTAAGTGGACCCTGAAGAATAGAAAACTCTTGAGTTGGCAATATCAAATAGAAAGAAAGCAGGCTGGTAAAGTGTATCAATGCTAGTTTTAAAGTGATGGGAGAAAAATAAAGGGAAGATGTGCCATAAAAACGTGAATTTTAAGTGAGCTGCTCTTTCTAAGGAGGTTTTAAAATTAAGGGAGTGTAGAAGATAAGTGAAGGAACAGAAAGTAGAATGACAAGGGATAAGCTCGGTCATAAACAGATGAAGAGTAATGCTGGCACTAACCGCATCCGAGAGCACAAAAGTCAAGTGGAAAGCAGGTCAATACAGTGTCAACTGAAGTCTATAAGAACTACATGCATGATAAAACAAATGAGAGAAAGGTCGTCCAGACATGAATTGGTGCTTCTGAGAACATCTGGTTCTTTGCAAAATCGGTATCTTAGACACATACTGTGGTTTACACAAAATCAGAGCGAAACCAACTAGCAACAGGTTTATCATCAGCAGAGAGCAGGGTGTCAACCACGCAAGGAGGAGGTCAAACCCTCTTCCCAGAGGACGTGCTGTGGGGGTGTGAGGGGGGCTGCTTCGAGCAAGAAGTCAGCACACGGAGGGGCTGCTCAGCGGGCAGCATCAGGGAGTAATGGGTGGAAACTGAGTGAGGAGGGCTCTGGGCTTTGTTTAAATCTAAGTCCCAGGATGGGTGTTTGTGAGCCTCTGAGCACTGTCCACGGTCGGTGTCAATCACCAGGGCTGTGTCAATCACACAGGACTGGCAGCTTCGCCTTCGTTAATCTCCTCCTCTCTCCCATGGGTGTCCCTGTGAGAACTC